CGGAAGAATTAAAGATAGCAAAACAACTTTTACAAGTTCAAGGTAAAACGTTAGAAAAAATAATTGTTGACAGTCCACCATATTCGAATGATCAACCAGATGGTAGATTTCATGATGAAACTGATTTAATTCATGATCTAACAGATGAACTTATTACACCAAATCTACGCGAGTTAATTCTGAATGCCCGTTTACCTATTGTCAGCATTTGGGATGAGAAATCAAGACAAATTATTAGAAAAGTTGCAATTGATGTTGGTCCTCAATCACAAAGTAACTGTTGGTCATGTTTTTATAGTTTTGGAAACTGGTTAAAGTTTTTCGAGATGTGTCGTGGCATGAAAATAACTGGCAATAGAGCTGACTGAGATCAAACGTTTTTGTGTGTGAAGAATCAATACAGGACAAACGTCATTGCCAGAATAAGAAAATGACACTCTCGAAGTCAAAATGCATTCCCACAAGAAACTAGATAAATTTGCAAAATGACCTACGATTATCGCTTTGGAGGGGCAGTTCAAGTAAAGCAGCTTAAATCAGTTTTTCGATTTGAGATCAATCAGATATTTTCTCCATACTCAGTGTTTACTGGACTAAATCGTGAAATTGAGTCTCTGATTCTTCGCACACAAAAACGTTTTATCTTTTAACCGTGTTTCAATACTCTGGCTTGTAGAGTTTAAAAGAAAACTCTTCTTTCTTTCTCTCCCTCTACAGCGCAACTATTGCAGGTACATTAAACTAGAGAAAAAGAAAATGACTATATACGTTTAATAACTTGAACGACTATCGAATTCTTTTCCTTTCCTGTCTTTTCTTACATACAGAAATAAAAAAGAATTTTGAAATCTGATTGATGTGGTATAAAGTCAGCGCTGATGACTTACTTCTTATGGAAACTGAGAGTCAAATGTCAGACGGGTATGTGATCACATAAGAGCTTTTCCGAACTTTTGCTCTGTTTCCGAGATATCTCAATTTTCTTAAAACTGCGGCAGTTTTTACCAAAAACGGTCAAGTCATTCTTTAATGAAGTTGTCAATTTGTACTCAAATTCAGTAAAAAGTTGGTTTCGTAGATAAACAACAGCGTAGAATCCGAATATCGAAAATATGTCCAAGTATAAAACAATTTGAGTTAGAAACATGGACGCAAGAATATTCCTATTCTATTGATGTTATAGTAGACAATTAAATCAATTTAGAACATTTAAAAGTGCGTATTTGGTGGTGTTGTGGCCGTAAATATAAACAGTATAGTTTAGAACAGTTGTACATTAATGATAATATTATTAATAAAGTTATATCCAAATTACCAAAACTATTGTCAATTGATTTAGAAGGTCATCTAGAATTTTCTGAC